GCTCAACCAACTGAGCCACCCAGGCGCCCTAATTTAATTAATTTTTAAGCAAAGAACTTTTATTACTTGTTACAAATAAGGAGGGAGATAACTTTTTTTTTAGGTTTTATTTATTTATTAGAGAGAGAGCACAAGCAAGGGGAGCAGCAGCAGAGGCAGAGGGAGAAGCAGACTCCCCACGGAGCAGGGAGCCCGATGTGGGGCTCAATTCCAGGACCCTGGGATCATGACCTGAACTGAAGGCAGACGCTTAACTGACTGAGCCACCCAGGCACCCCATTTTTTTAAAGATTGATTTATTTATTTGAGAGTGGGGTGGGGCAGGTAGGGGTGGAGCGAGACCAAGAGAGAATCTCAGGCAGACTCCTCGCTGAGCACAGAGTGCCACACGGGGCTCGATCCCACAACCTAAGATCACAACCTGAGCTGAAGCCACGAGTCAGACACTTCACTGACTGCACCACCCAGGCACCCCAAAGAGGGAGGTAGCTCTTAAAGCACTGTCTCCCCTTGGGGTTAGAGCAGGAAGCTTTTTTTTTTTTAATTTTTAAAAATTAAAAAAATTAAAAATTTATTCCAGTATAGTTAACATCCAGTGTTATATCAATTTCAGGTGTACAGTATAGTGATTCAACAATTTCCTACATCATGCAGCACTCATCAGGACAAGTGCACTCCGTAATCCCCATCACAAATTTAACCCATCCCCCCACCCCTCCCCTCTGGTAACCATGAGTTTGTTCTCCATAATTAAGAATGTTTCTTGATTTCTCTCTCTCTCTTTTTTCCCTTATGTTCATTTGTTTCGTTTATTAAATTCTACATATGAGTGAAATCATACAGTATTTGTTTTTCTCTGACTGACTTACTTCACTTAGCATAATACATTCTAGTTCCATCCATGTCCTTGGATATGGAGAGATTTTATTCTTTTTTATGGCTGAGTAATATCCCATTGTGTATATATGCATCTTCTTTATCCATTCATCAATCAGTGGACACTTGGACTGTTTCCATAATTTGACTAGTATAGATAATGCTGCTATAAACATTGGGATGCATGTATCCCTTTGACTTAGTATTCTTTTTTTAAATAAAGATTGTTCTTTTTTTTTTTAAAGATTTTATTTATTTTTTGACAGAGAGAGAGACAGCAAGAGAGGGAACACAAGCAGGGGGAGTGGGAGAGGGAGAAGCAGGCTTCCCGCTGAGCAGGGAGCTGGACATGGGGCTTGATCCCAGGTGGGATCATGACCCGAGCCCAAGGCAGATGCTCAACTGACTGAGCCTCCCAGGCGCCCCTAAATAAAGATTTTTTTTTATTTCCTTGGGTCATTTTCTTTTAGGGTCATTTTCTCCATTTGTTTTTCTTGATTCTTCTCTTTCTTATGTCGGTGTTTTCTCAACTGTCTGATTGACTTTTCATATTTATGAATGAAGCACCAGGTTTATTAAAGTAAGTTTTTTGAATAGTAGGGATTTGCTCTGTTGGTTCCCGCTCAGTCTTCTCCCTGAATTGTTTGTAAAGCCCTTGTTCTTAACCACTGAGATAGGATTCCAGAGCAGGCACAGAGATTCCTCAGGCTCTTCACTCCCAAGACCATTTAATTATCAGACACATATTTCTTTATTAGATCTCACCCAGATAAGTTCTCCCCTGTGTCTTTTTGTGATTCTGGCTGACATAGTTCACCTAGTTGGTTACATTTTGCATTACTTTGAATTATTTTGGGGGTTGTTTTCTGATACATATTTATAAAATAAACATTTCAAAGTAGCAAAAGCAGCTATTTCCTGGCAGTTAATGAATCCCCATATTAGGTTCTCATTTGCAAGTTGGTCATTAACTTTTTAGGAGGTTAATCTGGTCATTAGAACCTTGTTATGCAGTTATTATAGTACTACAGAATTAGTGTATTTTGTTCCATAAAGTCAAGGGAAGAGTAAAACCTCTATGCAGTGATTGGAATAAAATTGTGCTGGACTTTTTGGTGGTGTTTATTGTAACTTTATCATGTACCAAGCTTTTCCTTAGGTTTCTGTCAGTATATTTATGTGCTGACATCACTTCTATCACTAATATAACCAGTTTTGTGTCCTTTATTTCTACTAAGATCATAAAAAGGTTCAGTATTTTGTAGCTATTTATAGAAAATAAAACTTAATAGTGTGTGTGCTGACTTTACACCTGCTTGATAAAGGTAGTGAGTTTTCAGTGTTCTTTTTTTTTTTTTTAAGATTTTATTTATTTATTTGACAGAGAGAGACACAGCGAGAGAGGGAACACAAGTAGGGGGAGTGGGAGAGGGAGAAGCAGGCTTCCCGCCGAGCAGGGAGCCCGATGTGGGGCTCGATCCCAGGACCCTGGGACCACGACCCGAGCCCAAGGCAGATGCTCAACTGACTGAGCCACCCAGGCGCCCCCAGTGTTAGTTCTTTAAAAACATTTTAGTTTACCTTGCTTCCAGTGTTTGACTTTTATTAATTTCTATGCTCAATGATAATTTTAGAAATTTCTAATTTTTTCTGTTACATACCAAACAATTGGTAATGTGTGAGTTTATTATCATGAAATTTATTAATCATAGCTTAAAAGGTATAAACACACATATATATAGATAAATATATATATCTGTATGTATTGAGTTTATCCTTAGAATAAAATAAAGTTTTCGTCTTTTTAAATGTTGATATGAAATTTGAATCGCTGTGTTACAGCCATTCACTGTTAACTGCTGTTAACTGTTTAGGTCGGTGCAGTGCTACTTCATTCTGTTTTTAGAAAGGCTGCATGTTCCGGCGCCTGGGTGGCTCAGTTGGTTAAGCGACTGCCTTCGGCTCAGGTCATGATCCTGGAGACCCGGGATCAAGTCCCACATCGGGCTCCCTGCTCAGCGGGGGGTCTGCTTCTCCCTCTGCCCTCTTGTGCTCTCTGTCTCTCATTCTCTCTCTCTCAAATAAATAAATAAAATCTTTAAAAAAAAAAAAAAAGAAAGAAAGGCTGCATGTTCTAGGGCACATACCCTGGGCTCTTGGAGAGTTGGTTCTCTCTAACCCACTTACAAGGTTCTCCTGCATGAAGAAAACTGACTAACATTTAGGGGCTTCTGACAGCCTAAGACTATGTCCCTGTGATGAGCCAGCCCCCTTTGAGTTCCTGTCTGGCAAAGCCCAGGGCTGCCAGAATGGCAGTGTGTTTGGCCAGCACCTGGATAGGCCTGCCCCTCCCTTTCTAGTGCATTTACAGTTTTGCATCCTTCCTCTGTCCCTCTGAGATGTCTGTGTGTCTCTACAACCCAGGAGTGTTTCTCTCTAGGACCTGAAAGCCATCCTGCAACTGGAATCCCCAGGAAGGATGAGGCCTCTGCCTCTAGGTGTCTATGGGAAGGTAGACAGACTTCCATAGCTGCCAGCCTGCAGACACTCATGTGTCTGGCCTGGCTGCATTTATGCTGACCACCCCCGTGATTTCTCTCCCCCAGCTGCTCCGTTTAATGTGCCCAGCCACCCCTGCGCAGATGGGAGTGGAGCTCAGCTATCCCCGGCTGTTGGCAGTTTGCCTTGGACCCTCTCCCCACACTGCTAATCTGCAGCCAGCTCCAGAAAGGACTCAGTCTGCAGTCAGCCTCCCCCTTGCGAGTCAGACTCAGTGCCATCTGAGCTTAGGTGTCCTGTGCCTGGTGCAGCATCTGCACATTAGGGCTCTTGTTTGCAGATGCACGCGTCCACAACGTAGAGTCTGTTGTCTGGAACGTTAGAAACGACCTGCACATTCTCAGCCAGGCAGTGTGCCTGTTGGTGTGCTAACAAGCAGGGATTAGAGGGATAGCTGTGGAACAATCAGTAATCCAGTTTACTTGATTACTTGAGCAGCAAATAATTTGTTTCCAAGTGATTGAATTTATAATATAAAACATTTTCTAGCATTAAGGGGTAATTCTGAAAAAGACAGCCAAAGGTAAATTATGTCTCAGTCCTAAAGCTGTGTGTGAGCCAGCCTCCCCTCTTTGCATCTTTTGGCAAATGCACTAGTTAGTCTGTTGTTCTGTGGGCTTGGGAGGCCACCTTCTGTGGCCTCCAGTGTCCCTGCTCATTCCAGCCTGTAATTCTGGGCATTCTTGCCATGAGGGACACCACCCCTGCATGCTCTGAACTAGATCCCCTGGGTTGGACCAGTGGTGCTGTGGACACAGACCATGTGACTGCCATGGCATGAAAGTCTGGGTTGGGTTTGGGGCAGTGGGACTGGACAGGAAGAATGGATTTCTTTCATTTTAGGAAACGTGTTACAAGAAGTCGTAGGACTTGATGATGGGTTGCATCTGATGTGAGACTGGAATGTCGGTGCCCTGTCCACCAGGCCACTCTTGGCATGCAGCCAGCCACAGCGACTGGCAACCAGGATGCTGAGGGCAAGGGTGCGTAGCCCCCAGGTGTCAGGAGCTGTGGCAGCTGTTGTCAAACAATTTGTGGAGAACAAAACAACTTAGCACTTTTAGCCCTTTATTATTAACACGCAGCTAATGGGTTCAGCTCGGCAAGCGAGTGAGTGCTCAGCCGAGATGGTGCTGGGTGTTGAAGGCGTCGGGTGGCTGCTCAGTGCTGCCAATCCGGGACACCCTGGAAGCTCCTGGGTTGGATGGTGTTTGGAGGCAGGCATGATGTTCTGGGATCTATGTGCTTTGGGGAAACTGCTTTTTGGGACTAGGGAAGTGGGGCTACAGGGATGACTGGGGATAACAGGCCCAGAGCATGACCCCAAGAGTGAGTCTGGCTTTCCTGCCTCTGAGTCTGGCTCAAGAATAAACAGTACATAGTGTAATGAGGGAAAGGGACACTGGCCCAGGGGAGCTATTCTGCAGCTTCCACCTCCCGAAGGGATGGTGGGTGAGGTGTCCGTGCTCCCACAGCTCCTCCTGGGTGTCAGCATGAGCTGGAAGAGAAGCGCAGAGAATTCCTTTGAAGTCCTGCTGTTCTCTGGGGGCAGATGGCCAGCACCATGAAGGCTGGCTAAGACTCTCCCCGCACAGCGCTCCAGAGAGCCTTGTGGTGAATGGGCATCATTGAGCCGGCTCACCAGGTGGCTCATGCGAGATGCTGGTCGGCTACGCTGGGGCTCTTTCTGGAGTTGCTCATTTTACGTGCAGTGGACATGCAGCCCGGGGTCACCTGGTGTGGATATTGACCTCCATGGAGTTGAACTCTCAGGTTTGCCTGTGTGTGGACTGAGTAATCCTGTAGCTTGAAGGGTTTGCTGTGTAGGCAGATCCCCTCTTTTGTTTTGTTTTCAGGGTGGGGTTTACTCTCCTTGTAGGGGAAAGCGCGGCCTTTCTATTCTGTACTCTGTACCAGAGTTTAACTGGTGTCTCTGTTCCACAGGGCAGGGGCTGAGATGCTGGTGAATTTGGTCTTTAAGAGACCTTGGCTGAGTGGAGGGTAAAAAAGACAAAAGGCTCCTGGTGTGAAGCACTCTGTCCACAGAGTTCCTAAAAATGTGTGTGACACGTGGGGGCTGGGATAGGGCATGAGGGAACTGTGTGTTATTTTATAACATAAACCATTAATTTTTTAAATGACCTAAGACATTTAAAAGAGAAAAAAAGAAAGAAAAATCTTTAGGGGGTGAGCAAGGCCGTTTGCCTGATTTTCAAGGGCCCAAAGCTGGGTTGGTGAAAAGGGCAGAAGGAAGATCTTGTCTACCAGAGAGCTGTTGCCTGCAGGGTTTTTACCTGTCAGCATAAGTCATGTAATTACATCCAGGAGGAGGTCCAGTTCATGGGCCCTGGCTGGTGCCCTTCCACTCTGTAGAGGTCTCTAGCTCTTGTCCACATGAGCTCTCTGTTGAGTTTGGACCATTTGTTTGGAAAAGGTCCTATGTTAAACCTCTACACAGAGCAGTGAACTTGAGACAAAAAATTTTAATGTTCAGAAACTATAAGTTATAACTATGCTAATTGCTACTGATCATCTTACACCATATCTTGCTGAGGACCCATTTTGTTAAATCAACCAATTTATCAAAAAATACGTTTTCTCATTATAGTAGGTCACAGTAAATTTTGTGGTTATAGTATATATTGGCTAGATTCTTATAATTGATTGCTTTTTATTTATTTCTAGTTAGTATTTATGAACTCCTGTGAACTGTTTTTCTGTTTCCTTAACTTTTTTTTTTTTAAAGATTTTATTTATTTATTTGACAGAGACACAGCGAGAGAAGGAACACAAGCAGGGGGAGTGGGAGAGGGAGAAGCAGGCTTCCCAGTGAGCAGGGAGCCCTATGCGGGGCTCGATCCCAGGACCCTGGGACCCCGACCCGAGCTGAAGGTAGACGCTTAACGACTGAGCCACCCAGGCGCCCCTCTGTTTCCTTAACTTTCACATTACCAGGAAGATTTTTGGTGGCTTATCCATGAATAAGTTTTTGTTTTTCATTTGTACTACATTTGCTTTAAATCTGAAACTTACAAAAATCTTACTTTTTTTGTACCCTTTGTTTCTCAAAGGGAAAGTGAAATAATCTGGATAAATCTACCATGTTGCCTATAGGAAACATCCTTGGTTGATTTGCTTAGTGAGTTTCTTCATTATCTAAATCTGTCTTGTATGTGGCAGGTGAATTGTGTATGCGCTTATGGAGGAGTCATGTTGCTCAGTACCTGGGGGCGAGGGGGGCGGGGCGCAGCCTGCCAGGTGGGGACACTCCAGGGGCATCTGCTCCGTTGGCAGCCAGAAACACTGTTGGGCAGTGGGACTGGGCACTGACAGGCATTGGGTGACGTGGAAGGTGGAGAGTGGGGAGTGTGTTTTACCTACACTTATGAAGTAGCCAGAGGAACACATTCTATAATTGTTTATAGGTAATCTTAGACTAGGGAATAGTTTTTTAAAATTTGCATTACTATTACCTTTTTTTCTAGTAGGTAGTAATTTCTTGCATGTCAAGGACTAATTGCCATTGACTTAAATGGCCTAATGAAAAAGCAGCTCACTAGAGTGTACAAAATTAGTTTTTTAAACTTTAAAAATTCTAACTTTATACTTTTCTTTTTAGAGAAGAACAAAAGATGATACTTGGAAAGCAGATGACCTCAGAAAACATCTTTTGGTACTGTATCTTAAAGATTTGAGTTGGGGTCCTTTTGGAGCTTGGACGGTTTCTTGGACAGTTTTACCTGCTTCTCAACTTTGCTTGTGTGTGGCTCATTTCAGAAGTGTTTCTGACTCAGAGATAAAGCCGTATGGTTAATAGGTCTGGAACTGTGGTGGGACAGGGTTGCCCTGCTCAGCCCAGCATCCCAGCAGCTCCATCAGGTTTCTGTTACGGGTCAGGGCTTGGGCCATATGTGTCGGTGTGTGCGTGTATGTGTGTGGTGTGCATTGAGTGTGTGTGTGTGGTGGGTGCACATGTGTGTGGTTTATCTGTGTGGTAAGTTTGCATGTGTGTGTTGATGTGTGTCTATGTGCATGTATGTGTGTGCATGTGTCTGTGTGTGTGGTGTATGTGGAGGGAACTTTGGGCTGAGAAAATGAGCAAAAGGAAAATCGTCCTTTGGATTGGAGTCGGGAGGCCAGAAGGGGCGGCGCCCAGGCTCTACCAGTCCACTGTCCGCTGCAGACCCAACAGGGAGAGATGCATCTCCCCGTGGATACTCGTTTACTGTCCCGTCGGGAGAAAGGAAGGTTTCCTCCTGCCCTGGCAACAGCTCAGCCAATGAGAAGCCACTACACTTCCCAGCTCCAAGTTTACACCAGTGGACTTTTAGCTTAATGCAGCCCGTCCCAATGCCCCCTCTCCTCTGTAAAAGAGCCTCCTCTCCTTTGTTCCGCAGAATCACCTATGGTTTTGCCATAGCTTAACTGTCCCAGATTGCAATTCTCTGCCATTCCTGAATAAACCCATTTTTGCTGGTAAAGTAACTGGGGTTAACAGGTGTTGAGATCAAGACCTCCTGAGAATTTTATAGGGGGGAGGGGCCGGTCAGTCCTTGTTCTTTGAGTTGGACCCAGGCTGTTGGTATCTCAGAGACTTTAAGATACAGCTTCAATATCCCTTTCTTTTTCTTTCTATTCCATGTAGTATTTCAGATTTGACTTGCCAGCAGACGAGAAAGTCTCTAATAAATGGGTGCCCATTGCCAGTCATAGAAATGCTCAGTCTGATTTCGCATTCAGAGACTCTTCTTCCAGGCCCATCTTGCTGGGATGGAAAGCAGTTGAAGCTAGTGTTAAGACCCCTCATTGAATATGACTCAGATTCCAAATTCTGCTTTTTTTCTCTTGGTTTAGGCTGCACAATCAGGTAGTCCCAAGGAAGATAAGAAACACAGAGAAAAGAAGCTGCATAAGGAGTCAGAAATGGACCTCCCTGAATACAAAGAGCCCAAGCACAGGGACCCAGACCGAGACACCAAGTACAGAGAGAGGCCTGGCGAGAGAGATGGCCACACCTCCAGGGAGAACCCTCATGGCGACAGAGAAAGAGAAAAGCAAAGGGAAAGGAAAAAGGCCTCCAGAGACCGGGACAGAGAAAGGCATAAAGAGAAATACCGAGAACAGGACACAGAGAAGTCTCACAGTAAAGAAAAAGACAGGGACAAGGACAGAGACCGCAGAACTAAGAGGGAGGAGCTCAGGCAGATGGCTGCCCACCATAACCTGCTGGGCCGGCAACTCCTGGACAGAGCAGAACGCAAGATGCGAGCAGGTGTGTGTTTCCGCTGTGGAACCTTTGCACCTGGTGCAGCCCCATATTCCTCTGA